TAATGGCAAGGAATATGGATCGTGGGTCCATACCGATCGACTTCGTCCAATACACAACAAAGTGCCACCTACCTCGCCCTGGTTTGACCCTGTCGCCGCCCATGCTGCCGCCCGCGCTTTGGCCCAAGAACAAGGTGCTCCTGACTTGGTCGCGGACGACCAATAGTTTGGAGGGGGGGTAATGTCGTCGCACAATATTCACATGTTCGATGAAGCATCCCTGCTGTGGCAACAAGACGTCCTTGACGTAATGCGCAGCAACTTACGCATTATACACTTTTACTACGCCATCACCGCAGCTGTCATTGTAATCACCTTCATCATCATCATATCCGCAGCAATACTCTCGCACAGTTTTACCATTAGAAAATAGTATAAATATAACCCAACCTCCTTATCTAATAAAGATATCTACTCTCTCGTTTCCCATTGTCACCTTTGTGGTCTCATCCTCTTCGTGGTTCTCCTTCGTGGTAATACTCTCTTCGTGGTTATACACTCTCCGTGGTTACACTCTCTCTGTGGTTATTCTTTGTGGTCGTCTTTCTACCGAACTCAAGCAAAAGATAAAGACTGTCGTAGCACATATTGCTCGACCAATCAACGTCATTCATTATTTTATCCTTTTCTGTCTTCTTCCCCAGTGAAAGCACAGCCGGTCGTAATTCCCTCTTTGGACGCATCGCCGAATGCCTTTTCTCTCTTGTCTCCATATATTATTATTAGATATCAAAATAGTATAAATATCCAAGTAGTCCCTATACAATAAAGATCATCTATCTATCTATCTGCGACTCTTATTCTCCCCACTGTTACTCTTGCGTCGTTGCTATTGGCCACGGTGTAACCGCCAAAATACAAGCACGACAATTGGTAGCTGATGAACTTCGATTCCCCGATGGACGACCAAGAACCGTACAATAACTACTGTCGCAATTGTGGAGGCTGCGGTCACGATGAAGATATCTGTACTTCCGAGATCCCAGATCGTTGTTACAACTGTGGAGGACATGGTCACGATGAATATGCCTGCACTTCCGAAAGAATGTCACGATGTTATAACTGTGGTAATGAATACCATTTTGCCCGGAATTGCATGTTGCCGACACTGCCAAACGCGTACCGATTTCGACCGATAGTAAAGCGACATCAACGAGAAAAACGACAAAGACACAAACATACAACATTACAGCGACATGTTATACAACAAGACAACCAAGACACGAACACGCAATATGAAGAACTATCCGAAAATCTAATCGACATCGACATGGACGATTTTACTGCGACACAGTACGAGGGACAACTCGACGACGACGTACACTACCTTGACAAATTATACACCGATAATGAAACCGACCTACCACTTTATGACTTGCTATGTAACGGACGCATGTGTGAGACCCTTTTGGACAGTGGCGCATCCGCGACATATGTGTCACCCCATATTGTAGAAGGCTTACCACGCACACGTGTCACTAGTCGCCAAGTCCAAACCGCCGGCGGGCACATTCTCAGTATCACAGCAAAAGTCACCTTGATGCTCGACATTGATGGCCTTATCCACCAGGTCCCTGCGTATATCCTTGACACCAAATTCGACTTAATCCTCGGCCGTGATTGGATAAAACGCATGAAGCCCGTGCCTGACTGGGAACTTGACCAGTGGCATATTGTCCATAACGACGTAATGCATGTTTTACGTCCTAAGTACAACCGTGTCATCCCAGATCTTGCCTACCTGATTTCCAACCGCCAGCTCGAGCGTTTTGAACGTGACCGTCACATCGCTTCCATGTATCTCTGCCTTGTTCGACCAGAGGATGTTCCTTCTGGAGCATCGGAGGATGATGTTCACGTCAAGCCCTTGCTCACAGAGTATGCTGATGTATTTCGCGACAAGCTCCCAGGACTACCGCCTCAGCGCGATGTTTACCATGTCATTGATACTGGTGATGCTGCACCCATCAGTCGACCGCCCTTCAAGATGAGCCCTCGTGAGTTGGATGAATTGCGAAAACAACTAAAAGAGTTACTCGACCTCCGCCTCATCCGGCCGTCCACATCTCCATGGGGTGCCCCTGTACTTTTCGTCCGCAAAAAGAATGGTGATATGCGTATGTGCGTAGACTATCGTGTGATCAATCGGGTGACGCGACGAAATACACATCCGTTGCCGCGTATCGATGAATGCCTGGAACGCCTCGGTGGAGCAAAGTATTTCTCAAGTATCGACCTCAAAAGTGGTTACCACCAAGTAAGGATTCATGAAGATGATGTACCGAAAACCGCATTCAACACTCGATATGGATCATACGAATTCCTTGTACTTCCATTTGGTCTGACAAACGCCCCACCTACGTTCCAACGATTGATGAACTCAGTACTGGGTGAATATCTCGATAACTTTGCCCTCGTCTATCTCGATGACATCCTCGTGTACAGCAAGACTATCGAAGAACACCACATGCACGTCCGTCAGGTTTTAGAGCAACTTCGCTCTGCAAAACTGATAGCCAACCCGAAGAAGTGCGAGTTTTACAAGACCGAGCTGGAATTTGTAGGTTATCAAATAACGTCGCGTGGTATCCTGCCATCCCCGACAAAGGTGAAAGCAATTCAAGATTGGCCGATACCAAAGAATGTCCAGGAGGTGCGACAGTTCGTTGGTCTTGCTTCTTATTATCGACGATTTATCCGGGACTTCGCTGCCATTGCTGCTCCGCTAACAGACCTGACGAAGGGTACTGGCGCGAAACAAAGAGCGATCGAATGGACCCCTATATGTCAAGCCGCATTTGACCAACTCAAAAGCCGTCTCACAGATGCCCCGATCTTATTACCGCCCAATATGGACTTGCCTTTTGTGATCGAAACGGATGCCTCGGACTACGGCGTTGGCGCCGTTCTTCTCCAAGAGGGGGAAGATGGATTAATGCATCCCATAGCATTCGAATCCAAGAAATTATCGTCCGCTGAGCGCAACTATCCAGCGCAAGAACGAGAGCTGCTGGGCATCTTGCATGCATTACGGTCATGGCGTTGTTTCATTGAAGGCCGCTCATATACGATCTACTCCGACCATCTTCCTCTCAAGTACTTCCGAGAAAAGGGTACACCAACTCCCCGTCTGACCCGATGGATTGCTGAAATAGAATTGTACGACCCTGATATCCGCTACAAGCCTGGTGCCGAAAACAACGTCCCTGACCTGCTATCTCGCCGCGATGGTGTTACCAGTACCCCTGTCAATCACGCAATGGAACCCGAATATCTCTATGCCGTAAAATCCTTACAAGAAACAGACTGGCCGAAATTCTATGCAAAACCAGAAGACAAATGGCCGATCACATACCGCGACTTACTCCAAAAACACCGGGACAAGTTTGTTGTGCGCAACGATTGCGTATATCGTAAGGTCAAGATTGGAAAAGATATTCACGAGGTTCGGTATGTTCTCCTTGCTCGCCGCGCCGATCTAGTGCAAGAAGCCCACAAGTCCTTTGGTCACGCAGGTAATGGTACACTATACGACCTGTTACGAAAACGTTACTGGTGGCCCGATATGCGAACCGATATTGCCGAATGGATCACCGTATGCAAGGAATGTCAACTTGCCGCCAATGCAGATAAGCATGTGCATCACGCGCCAATGAAGCCTCTCGAAGTCCCCCCGCCGTTTTCTCGTTGGCATCTCGATTTTATCGGTGAGTTACCGACAACAGCAAATGGAAATCGATGGATCCTTGTTGCCGTCGACTCTGCCACCAACTGGCCCATCGCAAGATCAGTTCAAGATGCTACTGGTGAAGTCATTGCTAAGTTCCTGTACGAGGAGATTGTGCTGCGCTTTGGTTGCCCGGATGAAATTGTTACCGATCGAGGCGCGAATTTTATGTCACAGATCCTCGCGCACTACACCGGCCGGATCAAGATACGACATGTTTTCACCTCGGCATTCCATCCTCGAACAAATGGCAAGGCTGAAAGAACCAACGGTATTCTGAAGCAAATGATACGCAAGTATGTCAATGGGCAGATCCATCGCTGGGACGATTTTGTAGAGCCTGCAGTATTTGCAGCCCGCGTTCGCAAGCACCGGACTACGGGGTTGAGCCCATTCTATATGGTTTATGGTCAAGAACCCAAGCTGCCTGGCGACCATCTTCGACCACACATTATCATTGCCGAGAAAGGCACTAACCTCACTGATGCCGACGCATCTAAGTCTCGAATCGAAGCGCTGCGTGAGCTACGCGCTGCCCGAGCTTCCGCTGAAGAACGTGTTCGTCTCAATGCTGCTCAAGACAAGGCTCGGTGGGATGCTGTGCTGAAGCCTCAAGTCTTCTCTGTGGGTGATCTTGTTCTTATGCGTCACGAAAACAAGTTTGGCCTAGAATACAACTGGAAAGGCCCATTCCGCGTACTCAAGACCAACCATGACACGGACATCTACCAGTTAGCGGATATGAACGGAAAAACTTACAACTCGTGGGTGCACACAGATCGTCTTCGGCCCATTGCTATGCGAAATGGTACCACACCCACCGACCCATGGTATGACCCAACTGCTGCTCGCGCCGCAGAGCGTCGCCACCTTGAAGCCGCAGCCGAAGCCCGCGCACAATTGTCATAGTTGTTCGAGGACGACCAACATTCTGAGGAGGGGATATTGTCGTAGCACATATTGCTCGACCAATCAACGTCATTCATTATTTTATCCTTTTCTGTCTTCTTCCCCAGTGAAAGCACAGCCGGTCGTAATTCCCTCTTTGGACGCATCGCCGAATGCCTTTTCTATCTTGTCTCCATATATTATTATTAGATATCAAAATAGTATAAATATCCAAGTAGTCCCTATACAATAAAGATCATCTATCTATCTATCTGCGACTCTTATTCTCCCCACTGTTACTCTTGCGTCGTTGCTATTGGCCACGGTGTAACCGCCAAAATACAAGCACGACAAGACGACACACTAAACAAAATAGGAAAAGGGAGGGGTCAACCGGGATTTGAACCCGGGACCTCACGCATCCGAAGCGTGAATGATAGCCACTACACCATTGACCCACTCGCTTGGTTACGCTGGTTTCTAGAGATCTTGTCCCGTTTCGCTTTCAATATCTTTATCCAGCCCAATGGGTACTCAAACTAGCAGTAAACAAGAGGAAATGCGCCGAGGAAGCCTTGATTTCAGGAGGAAGCGGAATATAAAGATAGGAGTCAGATAGATAGACTCCCCTTTTATTGTAGCAAAGGATACAGCTGATATTTATACTAACTAGCCTCCAGCTTCTTTCACCTATCTATTGGCTGGGCCCCTCCACTATACTACATGTCAGTCACCTCCTGGACTTCAGAGAATTCAGCTAGCTGGGGGAGGTAAACCCCCTTAGACCCCCGCTGAATCCTGTGGAAAAAGCTAGAGTTGGATTTCGCTTTAAGTATGTCATGAAAGAATAACAATCCTAGCCTTTTTATTTAAGGATGGTAGTTAGCTAGCTAATTATGACGTAATAAAACCAATATATGGTAATTCCAGCGGGGTTTAGCTTACTTTTTGACTGATCTGATTCGCCAATTGTTCGGGCCGATTTGGTTGTGTTACGTGGTCCTGACGGAGTCTGAGGTTTTGCTTTTTGTTGCTTTTTGTTGGATTAGCATTGAGATTCCGCGAGCATTTTGGTTTTCCCATTGGCCAAAATGGTCCTTTTCTTGGAGTTGCCTGTGGTGGGTATTTTCTTTAGTCCCATGATCATCCCCTTTGACCAATAGCCTTTTCTTTTGCAACCTTCACATGTGCCTCCACAAGTGCAGCTGAAGGGGTTACACGTCAGGAAACGTGGCAAAGACGTGAATGGCATGCATCAAAATGATATTATCTATTCTTTTGACCCATTGAAGCTCTGGAATAAATGTTCGCCAACAAATGGCGGATAATTACTTCTTCGAGTTCCGACAATCCATAGTATGCCCAATAACCAGGACCTTCAGCAGCAAGATCTAGATGCCATCTATCAGCGCCATTAATTCGATCATGCAAGCATCAGGCCACCGATTGTCAGATTTTCCGACCCTGCCCCAGGAATGCTGAGACACTCTCAAAGATACTGTGCCACCAACCCACATTCTGATCCATGCTGAATATACGCAGTATCGCCAATAATGAACAAGCTTTCCAAATACCGAATTGGTCCACACTCTCAATGATCACCAGAGAGTTGTGTATAATGCACATTATCGCGTCAATTGCCGAGCAATCCAGCGACCCCCATGTACCCCAGCTATTCCTCATCAATGGCCATGGTGGTACTGGAAAGTCTCAAGTATTCAAGGCTCTCCTGACGCATGTGCTCTCTCAACAGTAGATTGCTTTGCCTGTCGCCTCTTCTGGCATTGCCGTGATCCTGCTTCCTGGTGGCTGCACGGCTCACAGCCGCTTCAAGGTCCCACTGGACCCTGACGAAACAAGTACAGGATTTTCAAGAAGAAGTTTGCCAAAAAATCTGGTTATTGGTATAGACCGTCTAGGTTTTTCGTTTTTTTTGCTTCAAATTCGAATGCAAATTTTAGTATTTCGTTTCTCTTCTTCTTTTGAAATTAGAATGAAACATAAATGGTTGGCCTCCCAAAACTATTCTGGTGTAAAAAGCGGAGAAGGAAGACTAACCTACAGCCTTGATTGGAATGTTCTTGCTGCTATTGCCTTTAAATTTGACAAAAGCGTAGCAACGAAATACTAAAATTTGTATTCGAATTTGAAGCAAAAAAACGAAAAACCTAGACAGTCTATACCAATAACCAAATTTTATGGCAAACTTCTTCTTGAAAATCCTGTACCTGCAGCACCAGCCTGACCAGTGCAGACGCCCAGAGGTCGTCTCAAAAACCATCCAGTGCATTATGCTTTGGCCCGATGTTCGCGTTCTGCATCTGGACATCAACATGCGAGTGCAGAATGCAGGGCCTCAAGCCGTTTTCCTTTGCTGACCTGCTTCTTGCTGTTGTTGACGTCCGACCACCTTACCAGGAAAGTTTCGAGATTCCCGCAACAGTGGCGTATTGATGCAAATGACAGCATGGATCTCATCGATGCCATTTACCCATCAATTCGCCTCTCCAGTCAGCCGTCTGCCCAATTCCGCGATGGTGCTATCCTTGCCACGAAGAATGCCGATGTTGACGATATTAACAACAAGGCTTTCAGTATCTTTCCTGGCGGAAGCAGAGAGTACCATTTGCACAACCGCATCATCGACGCTGACAACCCCAATGTAGCCGCTGCAAGTTACCCTCCCGAGTTCCTCGACAGCCTTAATTCTGCAGGGGTTCCTCCACACTGCGTGAGGTTAAACGTCGGTATGTCTTTGGTATTGTTGCGAAGTCTCGATCCTGGAGTAGGCCTCTGCAATAGTACCAAGGTCATCCTCACAAGGCTTATGGATCATTCAATTGCTGTCAGAGCGATTGCTCACAGACCGCAGGGCATGGAGCACATTCTGCCTCGGATCAACCTATGCACTAAAGACAGCGAGATGCCATTTGTCCAGTGTCGTCGCCAATTGCCTGTTCGTCCTGCATTCGCCATGACCATCCATAAAGCGCAAGGCCAAACACTGTTCCGTGTCGGTATCCACCTTCGCGAACCAGTATTTCGCACACGGGCAGTTATATGTCGCGCTGTCACGAGCAACAAACCCTGACAACCTGCGCGTGGCAGTATATGGTGATATGACAGCTACCCACCCCGCAACAGTGAATGTGGTGTATCCCGAGGTTCTTCTCCGCCAGTCGTCCTCTATATAAACATTAACTATGCCCATACGATTCCTTTTTAGTTATGACGCCAACTTTTTTCTCCATTCATTAAAAACCAAGACCTGTCCCGTGTAACCAACTTGCGCCACAAAGCAAAAATCTATTCTCCACGACACGTACGGGGGGTCTAGGGGGGTTTACCCCCCAGCGAGCCGAATTCTCTGTAGCCCAGGAAGCGACTGACACGAAGCGCAGCGCAGGGGCTCAGTCAGCAGACGGGCGAAAGAGGCTGGAGGCTCGTCAGTATTAGAATAGACTATTGGTCTGTATGCAAGTTAATTTACAAATATGGTCAGCCCGATTTTCTTAAAATTTGATTTGGTTAATTTTCTAACGAGGCTAAGGTCTGCGGCCGATGATTGGGCACAGATTAGAAAGTTGCCTGTGGTAGCATGGTTTTTATTTCTGAGGCTGTTAGAAAAGTATCATATTGGTGGTGGTTTTTGAGTATTTTACCACACGTTTATGCTATGAGAAGGGTAGCTGTGATGGATTTAGAGCAGCGAAAATCATATGTTAACTTGCGATGCAGATATTACTAATACCTTTTTCACATGTTAATTTTCCACACAGTGCTTCTTGCCGCAGCAAGAGCAGAAACAGTTGGACCAATCATCACAGCAGAGTTGACCTTCTTAGATGAAACATCCAAACAGAAGCCTTGGCGTTCTTAAGTGAAGCATCCACATAGAAGCCTTGGTCTTCTAACACATGTACATAGCTCACAATAGAGGAACCGATCCTGTATATCCTAACATATGAAACTGTTTGCATCTGTGGATGTCTTACTTCTCTAAATCGAAGCTTGATCTGAATTCATACAGGGTTTTCAACAAGAAGTTTGCCACAAAATTTAGTTGTTCGTATAGACCGTCTAGGTTTTTCGTTTTTTTTTGCTTCAAATTCGAATACAAATTTTAGTATTTCGTTGCTACCCTTTCGTCAAATTTAAAGGCAATAGCAGCAAGAACATTTCAATCAAGGCTATAGGTGAGTCCTCCTTCTCCTCTTTTTAAACCATAATAGATTTGGGAGGCCAACCATTTATGTTTTATTCTAATTTCAAAGGAAGAAGAGAAACGAAATACTAAAATTTCTATTCGAATTTGAAGCAAAAAAAAACGAAAAACCTAGACAGTATCTGAACCATGAAACTCATCCGAGACTCAAAATTACCCAGCGGAATATGAAAATTTTGGCTTGAAAAAAAAGGTATTTTTTGGTCCCCAGCGAAAAAGTGGGAAAATACCTTCAAAATACCTAAAGTATTTACCCTCTGGGACTCATCTGGGACTCATCTGGTTCCACGAACGATTGGCCCAATAGAAGAGTTGCCTTGGTATCGCAATCCCAAATACAGGCATTGTTTTTACACTCCACCACGATATGCTTCCCTCTGTTGAATAATGCATAGTGGAAGCACTTTGGTGCAGCTTGTTGCCGCCGTAGATAATTTTTACGCTTGACAGCATACATATCTACTGTTCTACTGAACGTATTATAGCAATACGTAGCATATTCATATATTCATTTATCACATAGTGCCTGAAAAGCAACGTGCCCTGGGAGAACTTTCATGATCTGAAACTTATTAAAGAGTAAATAGTTTTTGATGATCACTTTGCCCGGTTTTAAATATATGAATATGTATTTGCCCACACGAGACTTCTCGGATAATCTTGAGCGTTGATTACTAACGTAGTTACACCAACAGAATATGTATTTTCTTATAAATATGAGCGAAATATGTATCTACGTAAGGATGCAATATCCATTTCCTTGTTTACCTGTAAGTGTTGCAATTTATAAATCGCGTTCGGCGGCATTGTCATTTTGTTGATTTGCTTCTTACCAAGGTCTGACCCTTTATCGATGAACAATACGCAAGCAGCCAACAATCCAACGACAGTCGATGACGAAGGACTTCAGCGCATGATCGACAATAATGCAGTCATGTACCGCAGCAATCAGATGATTATCGCTCAGAACATGGCTGCCCGGCCGTCGAACACATCTAAGGCGTATATGGCAAAGCAAGAAGAATGGAAGGTAGCAAGTTGTACAGCTTAAAGCAAAAAAACAAAATGATGCTAATAACATTGTCGGCATAGAGAGATGGTGTCTTGAGCAAAACTTCAGCGATGGGGAAACAGTTACCAATCAAAAGCTGAGCTATTTCCTTGCGGAATTCGTGATGAAGCGTGGAAGAAAGCTGAAGAGAAATGCCGACGACACCCCGATCGCATTAAGCA